TATAACCCTTCAAATTAACCCAAAGCCCATTAGAGAATGAGAGTAGTTTCATAGTGGATTTCTCGTAACCAATTGCCCTTCAGAATGTTATGAACCTGGGTTTTCAATTAAAACTCGATAACATCATATATTGAAGTTGACAATAAAATTCTTGCGCAGATAATGAATGGTAAACTCAAAATCCGCGTTCGAACCCACCGTTCACTGGACGCGTAAACCCGCCAATCACATTCGACCACGCGTCCAGGATCAAGATTCATAATACACCGTTAACATGGGATAACCGGTTCAACCGGCTATAAAAAGACAAATATTCGATTGTCTGGAAACCTCTCCACCGAACCCTACCCATACACCGGCGACCTTACAGCAGCGGACGGTGACTCAAACCAGCGGCCATTGGCGGCGAGAACTCCGGCGATACATTTTTTACAAGGACTTCCTGTTTTCTCTTTTGAACAGATCGAAGCCTTACACTAGTGGGTTTCTTCAGGCGAACGAAGGTGGATCAACACCGGCGGGCTTTCTGTTGTGGCCAATTGCAGGGGCCAATCTGAGCTCGGCGCAACCCATTCCATCTCTCATTCAATCTCTCTTTGTTTTCTTCTTCCCCTCCTTTCTTCTCACTGGAGTTCATTTCCAAATGATATCTCCCCTTGTTCGTTGTTAGCTCCGCAACGGTGAGACGGTGGATTTTTTTCCTTCTTCCGGTGACTTGAATTCTAGCTTCTTCTGTCGGTTCAACCAGCCTTGTAGAGCGCGACAGAGGGCGACGGATCAAACCCAGGTAACTGGATCCACAGATCTGACGTTCATTTACTTGACGGATCATTTACTCCTGTTGCCTGGGTTCCAGTTTCTTCTCACCGAGTTCATTTCCCGCTGCCGACAGATCCAGCGTTCCAGTTATTTGCAAGACTTTATCTTCTATGAGGAGCAGATACAGAATTCTTGTCATCCGATCAAGGCGGGGGACGGTGGATTTTTTTCCCACTGCCGGTGGTTTATGCGTTCATGACGCATGTATGCAGTGAATCGCTGATGGATGCTTGGATTCGGTGCAGGAGAGTAAAAAATGAGGAAAAACAAAAATAGCCGGTTCAACCAGCCGAAGGGTTAATAACTAAGAAAAGTTCCATTAATTCACGATTAACACGGATGAGATGACGTATTCCTTTTCATTCGAGGGTACACTTGCACAGAACGCGACCTTGTAAACTCACCACTCTTTGGGCTTGGGCTATTCATCACACGGTAAGGGAGATTAAAAATCTTTGTGACTCATCGAATGCCACAATGTCTTTCATATTTATAGAGAAGCTAATAGGCCTGCAGATGCGGTGGCCAATATAGGAATAGAAAAAGGTGTAGCACATCTACAATAATATTCCTGGGTTCAACGTCTATGCTAAGAAGTGGATCCAAGAAAACCACAATTGGGTTTTCCTGTTGCTAGAATGATTGATCTTTTTATTCTTGTTTTCCTTTGCTTTTATTCTTTTATTGGGTTGGGTTCAGTTTATAACCTAGAGTATTGTAATGTAATGTAGAGGTGTAAAGTGGTGCCGGTCATGCCATGCTGGCCCGTGGGGTGTTACGGGCCGTGCTTACCTCCTTAGTGAAAAATTTGGGGGTCAGCCTAGCATAGCCACGATCCATGCCCATGAATGTCAGAGTGCCAGGTCGGGCCGTGTATCAGGCCAAAGCTATTTATTTATAAAAAATTGATCTTAAAATTTTAATTTCATATGAATTTTGTGTATACAATTACTTATATATACAATAATTAAATAAATTAGTATAATAAATTAAAAAAATATTTATTTTATTAATATATTATATAAATATATTTATAATATATAATATATTATTTATATATATGGGTCATGCCGATCCACGGGTTGTGGGCTGCACGGCCCGCATGATCGTGCTAGGCCTGGCACGGCCCGTAGACCATCGTGCCGGGTTATGTCAGGCCAGTCCAAATTTGTGCCGGGCCGTGGGTGGCACGACCCGATTTACACCTCTATTGTAATACTTCATGATTTCCGCTTAGGGGTGGGCTATGTCCTCCGTAATTTTCTTTTTTTTTTCATAATGATTAATAAAATTTTAAGGTGGCCATCCATCTACCTCGAGTATAGTCTAGGGTTAACAAGAAATGGATATGCCAATTAAACTCCTTTTTTATTTCTACAAATCGATTCCACTATTTTTTTTAACTCCTTTTTGATTTCTACAAATCAATTCCACTATTTTTTAACTCCTTTTTTATTTCAATTCCACTATTTTTTTTTAAATAAATAAGCAAATAATTAATATTAGGGAAAATTCAAGATTTAGTACCCTGTACATTGGGCTTAGTGTCACTTTGGTCCCCAAAATTTAAAATGTGTCAATCCAGCATCGGAACTTTCAAAACATGCCAAATTTAGTACCTATCCTTGACCAGCCACTAAGTGACGTGCGAAAGGACACAAATGTTCTTCAGGTGTCATCTAATTTTCTTTATTAAGCAGTTCTTCTCACTGGTTCTAGTATGTAGTCGGAAAAGGAAATATTGCCGAAAAACTGTTTGGAGAATGTCATACTCAATTTATTTTGTCAAAAACCAATCTGATAGAGAAAAGTAGTTTGTCAAAAAAAATCTGGTAGAGCCCAACAATCTACTGGTAGAGTCCTTGGAGGCTAATTCCCAAGTGACTGATCCCATCAAACAAGCTCAGGGAAGTCAAACAGCAAGGTAGAATATACTGCTGGCACATCGGATTTGAAGGCAAACCATGGTAAAGAGGGAACTGATAAAGAGGCTTTATCAGTAGTATCATTGCTCATGACATTTGCCCCAGGTTTCTCTTTGCCATCAAAAGATGATCTGATCACAATATTAAGTAGGTTTGGGGCCCTTAATGAATAGAAAACAGAGGTGGAGGGAAGGAGCCTGCTGAACGATGGGCCACGGTTATGATGAACTTGAACACACTAAAATTTTGAAGCAATTGAGGTACCTTTAATCCTCCTTCAATTTCCTCGTTATTTGTTTCCAATTTAGATTATCCTCTTATAGCTTTCATCATTTTCTTTAAGTTGCATAACTGATAACTTATTTGATTTACATATTTCTCACTCCATTAAAGTAACTTATTGTTATATGGGTTGTAGGACTTTTCAGTTTTTCTTCTTGAAAATCAACTTCTTATTTGACCAAGTCTTGCTTTGACAAATGTCTTAGACCAAAATTTCTTTGGATTTGAAGTGTTCAGTTAGTTATTTGCTCTGTTTTTGCTTCACTGTTATGTGGCCTAATGGATAAGCAAGTGAGAGCTCTAATGTGCGTTAAGGACCTAAGAGGGTTCTAATTCCTTGGGTCCAGTTGTAACCATATCGGATGGCCAAGAGCATAATCTCCTAATCTGCTAGTTTCAGACCGACAAAGTATGCAGAACCGGCCACTGTCTTCAAATAACAAATTTCATTAGCTGATATAAAAGCAAAACATATGGAAAATGAAAGAATTTGATGCAGAAGAAGAGAGTAAACCTATAGAGATGATGAGAGCTTGAGCAATGGGCCACAGTTGTGCCTGGGTTGTCTTCTTGAAGAGCTCTGATGCAAAGGAAGCTTTCAGCAGCTCAGAAAAGGCCCCTTTTGGAAATTTTCAAAAGCTTTTATGTCGCACATGTCATCATGTGATAGAGATAACTGACGGATTGCTTGTGGCTGGGACTAAATTGGCATGTTTTGGAAGTTCGGGTACTGGATTGACACGTTTTAAGGTTCAGGGACCAAAGTGACACTAAGCCCAAAGTACAGGTTACTGATCTGGATTTATCCTGAATATTAAAACACTCACATTTGTTGATGGATTATGAATGTGAAATATATGTAAAACATGCATATTGGCACGTTTTGAGCCTTTCTTATGTTCTTGCTCACCTCCAAACTTCAAAAATTTCCTGGCTGATCCCAGGTTCATTTGAATTCAACTTTGTATGTAATATGCGGTATCAGAGGACACTGCTTAATAAGAATTTCTTATTTTTTATTTTTATCATTTAATTCAATTACTATTGTGTTCTTTTGTTGTCTAGCATGATAAACAGAGACATGTTTGTATGATTTTTTGATATCCAAACTGATTATTAATGTTTCTGAAATTTTCTGAAAAATTTGGATGATTTTAGCTAAACTTATAATATTATTCAACAACTTATCGCCAGATTCCCGTAGCTTTGCTAAACATGATGGACCAAACCTTTTCTATGGAGATCACAGATTTAGATTCTTAGAGGCCATCGACCATTGGGATACATTGACGGAACCTTGCCCTATCCACCTCAAGTCTTGAAGGCATCAAATGACTGCCTGCCAAGATCAATTATGGGAAATGACAAGATGAATTACAATTGAGCTGTTTTCTTACTATCATTGGAACTGTTCTCACTCAAGTTATAGGCTGCACATCTTCTCAATAGGCTTGGGTCAAGCTTGAGAATTTATATTATTCAAAATTGAGTTCAGATTATGTAATTGCAGTACGAGCTCCATTCCAACAAGAAAGCCTCCATGCCAATAGAAGTTATGAAATTGGCTTTCAAGCAAAAAGTTGTATAAGCAGGCTTATATAAAACATAAAAAGTTGTATATCAGTTTCTGTGAGCACATCACTCTTCAATTAATCTAGTATATAACCATTTTCCTTATGCCTCATTTACAGCAACCCATTTTCTAGTTCAATGATGATCAGGAATCATGGACTTGTAAAGGATAAGGAGATGACTCACTATAAGGGAATTTGTAAAGGAAAGAGAGATTGCTGGCTGGTGGAGCTAGGTCAATCATTGGCGTGCATGGCACATTACTGTGTATATACAATTCTTTCATATCTTATAAAATCATTGAAGTCACTGATCAAATAAAATGGACACAAAATGATTTAATGATCTTCAACAGTTTATTCCTGCTCACCTCAATAAGCTCCATATCTGTATTGGAAGAGGACAATGTATTCAACCTTGTATATGGCGCTAATCCAGGCAAAGCAATCCTCATCGTCAACTCGTCAAATTATCAACCTCTGCAAGATGGTTCCTATTCAGATTCTTTGGAAGTAGTCAAGCCAAATACATCATTAAAGCATAAACACCAATCTCTAATGTAGGTCAGAACAATTCAATAACCTTAAACAAGTTAAGACTGCATGAGTCAGGATGGACCAACAAATGGTATGGTCAATACCAAGAGCAGTTCAAGATGTTTAGTAATTAGCTAATTCTGTGCACTGACAATACCCACTGCAGGGACCAAATCCACCTAATCTAGTTGGAATGACTCTATCCATCAAATATATGGCATTGTCCTAGTCAAAGGTATCTGTTTTCCATTTCCAGAATTAAAAGAAAAAGAAATTACCAACTGTACCTTCATTTTATTAATTTCATTAGTAACAAACCATAAAACTTCTGAAATGAACAAACAGTTATAGCACTTAGCCGTCAAGTATGTTTATGCTGTGTATCTGGTATGCTTGCTTTAGCATCTCTAGTAATCTCAGTGCACATGCAAAAATTTGACATGATGTTTTAAAGATGGCCAGTAATGCAAAAATGGAGGGTGCTAACCTGCCAATGGTTCCTGAATGTAAAAGAATTATAAACACTGATTTCTCTAACACACATACCAGAAGTCTGTAGCTATGATGACTGATTTAAGCACAAACATTAAATTGACCAAGTTGATCTAAGACTCCACATTAAGTTTATGGTCTGAAATGGCACAAATATGTCTGAAATTGTGCAGATTAGAATCCCATACAGATTGCATCTTTTGAGATTGCCAAGTTGGTTCAAACCCCGGCCTTGCGTTTCTGCTCTGAAAGGGGGTCGGGCTCAAATCCCCTACAGATTGGATTATGGTTCCAAAAGTTGTGATCAACTTAAGACACATCCAGAATCTTTACAAATTTCAGCAATGCCACATCAGATGATATAATAAAATAAGAAGGGGACTACTCAATAATGACATCGTGTCATCATTCTTCTCTAAAACAAACAAATAGCACAAGGATGTCCAATTTTGATATTAGTAGGGAATCAAAAAGTATAATAGAACATGTTCGGGAAAGGCATCTTGCATCATCCTATTATTCCTACGTTCCTACCTTTGTCCCGTTTACAACAGAAGGTTGGACAGACAGCGGCAATTCTGGAAGAAAATAGGGAAAGCTGACCAAATTCCAATGAGGAAGATCTCTATTGAATTTCCAGAGTCGCATCCTTTCCTTCTCTAGATTATAATCAACTATAAACGACGGAAGATTTAATTGCTCTCGAAAGTCCAGCCTAAAGAACGCCCGTACTGGGTGCCATTCATCAAACCATATTGCTGAAATGCGAGCGGGGTCAACGCAAAAAGGAAGAGGAAGATAAGTTCTGAGTGACTTTCTCAAGGTCTTAGATAATGCCCTCAGAAACTTTTCCGCAATAATGCTCCGCGAAAGCTTCCATTGACTGTTACTGTCATTCTTGTAGTCCTCACGCATCCACAAGTCAATGGAGGTCCTAAGTTCATTAAAGCAAATAAGCTGAAGAAACCCACGAAACATAGAGAAACCACCTATCCTGATAATTTGGTTTGGTTGCTGTAGAAAAAATATGTTCTCTTCCTTGACATCATAGGCAAGAATGCTTCCCGATTCACATAACCAATGAAGTGCTCCATTCAGCTGAATTGCTGCAGGCTCAAGTGAACTCAGTCCCAGCACAAAACTGGATGACAGAGGAGGAGACACATCAAATTCTAATACCTTCCATTCCCAATTCACTGAAGAAAATGCCTCCACAACTACAGGCTTTCCTTGTGCTCCTGTAAGATTATCAACATGAACAACATAGTAATTTCCCTCAATTTCATCCACAAAAAACCCAGTATGCAGGACCAAATTTCCATGCCGCGTTTTGGGTACTGGAAGAATGACCCATTGCCTGGTAACGGGGTTACAAACACAATACAATGGGGAGTGCACGAAGGGACGAGACAGACAGCTGCTGCAGAGTACTAGTCCATGTCGAGTACCAACACATACAAGGAACGGGTAAGGAAGGAAATCCAGGGAACCTTTCAAATTAAACCAACCCCTCTGCTTTCCGGCTTTACCTTGAATGCTAGAACCAAGAAATCGATAAAAACAAACATTTTCCAAATCCTTTGCATTGTAATTGACTGTCTTCTGGACAAACAATCCAACAAACAGTTCTCCCGGAAACGCGAATCGTCGATGAAATCTATACGCCCGAACAAACTCCGGATCGTTGATCAGATAGAACCAACTCCTGCTTACGCATTTCAATCGAGTAACATCGTCGCCGGGAAGTCGAAACAGAATCTTCCGAACGATGTCGATACCCAAATCGAATGGAGATTGGAATCTTGAGGTACTCATTTTCTTGCTTTCCGCTTGCTGATCAAAAACTAGAAGAAAGATACACAGAATTTAAGAAGCGAGATGTAGCACAATATTACATTCTATCACACAAGAACATCTTTTACAGAAAAAGAAAACAAGAACATCGCTCGATTGTATTCATTTCGGTTCTTGGGCGAAACAAGAACATCGCTCGACTGTATTCATTTCGGTTCTTGGGCGAAACAAGAACACCGCTCGATTGTTGGCTTTCGATTTCAATTCTCACCCTTAAATGGACGAAGAACAGAACCGTTTGGGAGTGCGTTTGTTTACAGCGCGGGTGTTTTATAAATTACAAATATATACTAACGAGAGCCTGTGCGATCCACGGGATGGGGGTCGGGGCACCCTTCCTTCTCCCTCGCCCCCGTAAATCAAGACACTCTGACTCTACCATCGTTTTCAAAAGCGGACCGGACTGGACGGTCCGACCAGAAAACTGAGAATCGGTCATTTGATCAGTTCTGTTTTACTCCAAAACCATTTTTTGGCTAAAAACTGTTGATTTGGTCAGTGAATTACTGACCCAGGTAGTTGAATCACTGATCCGGATAATTGTTTTTGACCGTTTTTTTTATTTTTTATTTTTTTCTGTTAGAGTGGATTGTTCGTTTGGACCAGACGGTTGGACTGTTCAACCCAGGAACCAGACCCAGAATGGTTCCTCACTTCCTTGTCTGGTCTGGTTTGAAAAACCTTGCACTCTACTCCATCTCCACCCCGGCCCCAATGGTGGGGCGGGTTCGGGGCGAGGCATCCATTTCCCATGGGAATGAGGAATCCCCAAATTTTTCCCACCCTGAGACAACCACCTAAAATAATCTAATTTATGGATATTTTACAAGTAGGATTATGAGAATTTGGGGATATTTTAGGAATTGGATTATGACAATTTGGAGGTATTTTATAAATGAAATTATGGGATCCTAGGATTATAAGAATATGAGGAAAACTTAGAGATATTTTAAAAATTAATATTAAATTTATATATAGTATACTAATGTACCACCGGGTTCGGGGAATTATACGCAAACTCCATCCCTAATTTGGGGCAAAAATATTTTCCCTATCCCCACCCCATTCTCATTTAAGATTTGAGAAAACTTGCCCCATTCGGGCCGGGGAAGGGTAGGGACCTAGTTTTATATGGAAAATTTCCATCCCTACAATTCTAATAATTTTTTATAACTAATTAACTAATAATAAATTAAATAACAATAAATTACAATATTTTATGATAATTTCCGAAAAAGTAAATTAATTATTTACAATAACAATAAATTAATGTAATATATTTACTTTTTAAGCTTAAATTATTTACTATTAATTAAAATAAATGTAATTATAATAAATTAATGTTATTATAGTAAATTATATTATTTTTAATTAAAAATAAAGCATTTGTTGTTGTTAATTAATGTAAAACCACGTATGATCAACAATCAAAATTGAGTTCAGATTATGTAATTGCAGTACGAACTCCATTCCAACAAGAAAGCCTCCATGCCAATAGAAGTTATGAACTTGGCTTTAAAGCAAAAAGTCCAAGTAACCTTCTGACAACTACTTTTCTCGACAAAAATAAAACAATGATATGCAGCCAAATTCTATAAGATTGCTAGTAGTTCCTTTCATAATTAAAAGAGGAAGTTGTGAACTGAAATACATACTTTATTTTCCCAACTACTATAAGCAGGCTTATATAAAACATAAAAAGTTGTGCATCAGTTTCTGTGAGCACATCACTCTTCAATTAAGCTAGTATATAAGCATTTTCCTTATGCCTCATTTACAGAAATCCATTTTCTAGTTCAATGATGATCAAGAATCATGGACTTGTAAAGATAAGGAGATGATTCACTATAAGGGTATTTGTTGGGGAAAGGCATCTTGCATCATCCTATTATTCCTATGTTCCTACCTATGTCCCAAACCTTGTTAACAATAGAAGGTTGGACAGACAACGACAACTCTGGAAGGAAATAGGGAAAGCTGACTAATGTAGGTGAAAGAAGGGTTTATCTATTATATGGATGGCCAAACCATGCTATATGGCTAGGCGGAATTTTAAAAATTTTCTTTCACCCTTCTGAGAATCATATTCCCAGTTTTAGAAAAATTGAATTTTTTAAAATTTGTTCTTGAACCAAAACCGGACCAGATTTGAAACCAAAAGAAAGGGAGCAGAATACCTGATATGGATTCTACAAATTTAGCTCCCAAAGTGGTAGTTCACGCCTAAAGAGAATTCCAAAACCAGCTTCCACTGGAAATGGCATAGCTTGAATTGAAGCTGGTTTAGCAACATAGTTTTTCAGCAAAAACTGTAATCCAACAACTTGGATCGAGCAAGAGATGTAAGCATGAATTGAATCTGATATTTTCTTGCAAAAATTAGAAATCAGAACTAATCTTTATTAGTTCAAGAACTGGAGGTCGAACTAAGGTTTCTGGGGCGACAAAAGGAAAAAGAGAGAATTGAGAGCAGATTGATTACTAGAGCAGTTCGCCCTCTTCCTTTTATAAGCCATAAGGATCAACACTCCTAATTGAATTAGGAGGATCGTAATCCAAATCTTTATTTGGATTTGGACTCTCTAAGTGGATAAGACTTATCCTCTTATCCTAATAGTTGATCTAGACCCATATCCAAACCAATATCCGCGTAAGTCACATGACTACTTAAGTTGTCATGTGACCAATTGATTAATCTAATTAATCATGGGCTTTAGGCCCATTAACCAAGTGGCTCATGTCCCTAGGTAGTTGCTGGCCCATTTGGTTCCCTTTGTATAGTGTGGGACCCCAACAATGACCATACATTAGCCCATATGGGTTCGACCCAGCCTTTGTGAAAAGACCTGGCCTAATTCACTATCAAGTACAGTGAACCCCTGAGCCCATCAGAATGAGCTCTTAATGGGTCCAACATTTACATTAAATAATCCTTGAGTCCAACCATTTTATAAAGGCCCAAGGACAATGGACTTAAGTAGGATATAACCCATCAGGTAAAAAAGCCCTAAATGGTCTCTTACATTTAACCTCTCAGCCCTTAATGATCAAACACTGCCCAATAGGGAATGACCTCTCCCCTGGTTACAAGGTACAGTGTTGCACTCTCTGCTCGGATGGGTCCCGAATTCTTAAATATATATATATTTATATATATAATATTATCATATAAATATATTTTGCAAAACAAATCTCAAACACGGTTGAAATCGATTGCCGGTAGTTTTGGCTTCCATTAGAGAGAGTGTAGTCCTGATCATTCACTTTGTCCAGCAAAGGGGCTGATCCTATCACTATGATCACCCATTCGAGTGAATTCTCAGACTACCCCAACATATCCAGGTTTTGACCCCCGAAGGATCTCACTAATTGGCATATCAAAGATAGTCCAATCCGACACCCAGTGCAGTACCATAATCGAGTCTAGGGGTTATGTGTAACTTTCTAGTTTTGCCCACTAGTCTCCAAGGTCTAGGGCATAACTGGAAAAATGATCTGGGTTCAGTGTTTCAAACAAACACACACTACATGTTCTTCGGGTCCAACCCTAGCAATTGAGACAGGTTGCCCCAACCTTCTTGGCAGCACATTAATGTTAGCCTTGGCAGGATAAACTTCCCTAAGTCTATCCAACGATTGAGAACATTCTAAACTAATACGAGTCTCATAAGTGTCCAGTTTAAGGGTAATTACACAGAAACACACCAATTATAACATGAACCAATTATGTACTTTTATTCATTTACAATAAATGGATATCAACATCAATCTGATTGGAGTTAAGGGCATACACTGTCTAACAGCTCCCACTTGCACTTAGGTCCAATTTGGTATAAGCCCGAGTCTCATACTGTCCACATGTTTCTCAAACAATTTCTCCGTTGATGCTACATTTTGAATCTGGACGTCCCCTCTACCAACAATCTCTCAAAGTATATGATACTTCCTCTCGATGTGCTTTGATTTCGATTAGGCTCTTGGCTCCTTAGGTTAAGCAATGGCTCCAGTGTTGTCACACAACAGTGGAATGGGTGATGTGCTGGATGGAACAAATCCAAATTCGTGAATGAACTTCTTCATCCACATTGCTTCCTTGGCAGCTTCACTTGCGGCAATGTACTCGACCAATCTACTATGGACCCTTGTTTGTTGCTTTTCCAGCTAACTGTACAAGACCCCATCGTAAAGATGTAACCAAATGTAGAATTTCTATCATCTAGGTCTGATTCGAAGTCGGCATCAGTATACCTGACGATCTGTAGTGAACTACCATTGAAGACAAGACAAAACTCTTTTGTCCTCCGAAGGTATTTAAGTATGTTCTTTACAACAGTCCAATGCTCCTGTCCTGGGTTTGACTGATCTACTTACCACACTCACAACCTGAGAAATGTTTGGCCGAGTGCACAACATGGCATACATGATGCTCCCTACGGTTGAGGCATAGGAAACCTCTCTCATGCCTTTAATCTCCTCAGGAGTCTTAAGAGACATACCTTTGGAGAGAGTGACTCCGTGTCTGGAAGGGACAAATCCCTTCTTGGAGTTCTCCATGTTGTACCTATTGACAATCTTATCCTATTATTCTCTTCGATCTATCTCAATAGAGTCGAAATCCCAAGATGTAGGAGGCTTCTCCAAGATCTTTAAAGGCGAATTGCTACGAAAGCCATACCTTCACCTTAGTCAACATTCCTACATCATTCCCAATGAGTAGAATATCGTCTACATACAAAACAAGGAACGTAACAATATCTCCCATTGATTTTCTGTAAACACAGGGTTCATCCGAATTTAGCTCAAAGTAAAACTGTTTAACCGTAGTCAAATCGGATGTTCCTTCTTGAAAGTCCAGCCTAGAGAACACCAATACTGGGTGCCATTCATCAAACCATATTGCTGAAATGCGAGCGGGGTCAACGCAAAATGGAAGAGGAAGATAAGTTCTGAGTGACTTTCTCAAGGTCTTAGATAATTCCCTTTGAAGCTTTTCCGCAATAATGCTCCGTGAAAACTTCCATTGACTGTCATTCTTGTAGTCCTCACGCATCCACAAGTCAATGGAGGTCCTAAGTTCATTAAAGAAAATAAGCTGAAGAAACCCACGAAACATAGAGAAACCACCTATCCTGCTAATTTGGTTGGGTTGCTATAGAAAAAATATGTTCTCTTCCTTGACATCATAGGAAAGAATGCTTCCTGATTCACATAACCAATGAAGTGCTCCATTAAGCTGAATTTCTACAAGCTCAAGTGAACTCAGTTCCAACACAACATTGGATGGCAGAGGAGGAGACACATCAAATTCTAATACCTTTCATTCCCAATTCACTGAAGAAAATGCCTCCACAACTATAGGCTTTCCTTGTGCTCCTGTAAGATTATCAACATGAACAACATAGTAATTCCCCTCAATTTCATCCACAAGAAACTCAGTATGCAGCACCAAATTTCCATGCCGCGTTTTGGGTACTGGAAGAATGACCCATTCATTGCCTAGTAACGGGGTTACAAACGCACTACAATGGGGAGTGCACGAAGGGATGAGATAGCTGTTGTAGAGTACTAGTCCGTATCGAATATTGTTGGTGCTCAGAATAGGCCGAGGTCAACACCATTAATTCGCTCCTAAGCGAGGTGAGATTGAGTCGCCCGGTGTTCGAGTTAGCCGAGGGCTGGTAGTTCGGTCCTACAAGGAGTGGAGAGAGGACACATCAGAGGCCCCGGGTTGGTATCCGAAGCGAGGACTCTGACAGTCAACTTAGTACGAGGTGATCGAGGTTTGTGGTACAAGGACTCAATTGAGGTCACAAGGGAGGGTAAGAGTTCTCAAGTGTAGCTCAAGAATCTTAAGTTCTGGATCCCCTTACCTTGTGCGGGTCACCCCTATTTATACTTGAGGTTTCTTGGAGGTGGATGAGAGGTGTGTCCGGAAGCGTGTCGTTAACCACTTCAGAACACCAGTTTCAATATTTATAAATTTTCCGATTCTCAAAATAATTACAAAATGCAGTTAGTGGTGAGAAAGGGGTCGTATCCACAGGGAAGCAAGGGAAAAATTGTTACGTACTTCAATCCGAACAAAATAAAATGATTTGAGATTGTAGAAATACAAAATTTAATTAACTGAACTGGAATCCATTAAAATAAAATTCTATCAATACTAAAAGTAAAATTTGCAGAAAAATAAATAAATAACAGAAATAAAAAAAAACTAAATAAAAAATCTACAACTCGACCAGAGGTAACAGTCTCCATCTTACCTGGCAGAATTTCAGATCTACAGAAAGGAAGACAAAAATTAAATTTGATAAAAATAAATTGCAGAAATAAAATAAAAATTGGAAATTAAAGAATAGAAAATAAAAACGCGCGAAAAAAGTAAATCTAAAACTATGGGAAATTGGTTGGGATGATAGGTTTGGGATTAGAGAGAAAGAGAGGGGTGGCAACTGGGCTTTTGTAGAAATATGGGCACCCTAGGGTTGAGAATGGAGGGTTAAGATTGTTCTAAGGTGATCCTAAGGCTGAGAAGAAAAGGAGAGGGCGCCCAATATTATGTAGGGTTGAGATTTGGGCGTCTAGAATGGAGGGAGCAGATTTGGGCGCTTAGAGCTGGAGAAATGTGATTGGTTGGTGTTATGTGGCGCCCTAAGGTGATTGGTTGAGGTTTAAGGAGTAAGGTGTAAGGCTAGGATGCTGTCTAGGGAGATAGGATATGAGGGGCTACTAAGGCTTGGATGGTTGAGATTAGAGAGAGGTTTGCAGTGAAAGGTGGGGATTTGTAGAGCTGGGGGCGGCTAGGAGATAAAGAGATGGGGGAGAGGCGCCTAGGGCTTCAAAGAGAGTTATTTCACAAGAAAGGTGTTTATATGGGTTTAGTAGATAGGAGGCGCCCTCCTGTGCTCAATTTTTCACAGAAACACCCCTCTCTCAGTTGGAATTTGCACAAGCTTCCCAAAATCTACAAGAAACTCAGTAATTTTCCTAGTTTTTTCCCAAAATTTGCATAGGGACCCTCAGAGGTCACAATATTGAATTTTACCGGAAAAAGGGTATAGATTACCTAGTCTAAGGTCTAAAATACCCCTGAAATGATTACCTTAAGGCGTCAAAATACAGAGTTATAACACCCCCCAACATAACCACTACTATTCCCTTAACAATTCAACCTTAAAATTATTTAGTAAAGAAGTCATTCCCATTGCAAGATCATCCCTAACAAATTAGCCAAGTATCCTGATTCCAGAATTCTCAAACTTTGTATAGATCAGTATTGGGCTTAAGGGGTAAAACTATCTTGCTTTGAATATTTCATAAACTTAGCTTAAAAATCTTGTATACTCTTCCATTTGCAGACTGTCTCAATAAGTTGAAATTGATTTTTAAAATCAGGCGAGTATTCTTCTTATCATTTCTGACAGTGGATTTCTACCCTTGAACTTTGAGACACACACTTACTTTTATTGCTACTTTCCACCATTTGATGTGAATATCGATACTTGCCTTAGGTGAAGAGATGTCTTTGGCCTTCCCTTTTCTGTTTGACCCGAATCTCGACACTTGACTTATGTGAAGAGACCCGGTTACTAAGTCCAGGGTGTCCATTGACCTTTTATTCTTTTTTTTTTGAAACACTGTTCAGGATAGTCCACTGTCTCTAATGACTTGAAGAATTTTTGTCTAATTTCTCAATTTTTCTCTTCTTATCTTGCTAGGGGCAAACTTGAGAGTATTTTCCAATTTCTAAACGGTTTTGACAATATTCAAATAAGACCACTTTTGACTCCTATCTCTTGCTACCAATTTCTACAAAATTCAATATTCTTCTATCAGTTTTCTCAACTTTTTCAGTTTGGGAATCTCTTTTAATGGAAAAACTTAAAAAATTCTCAGTAAAATTTCTAGTTTTGCATTTCTAAAGTCTTAGCTCTTATTGTTATTATTATTTCAATTTTTCTCTTTCTTTCCTCACCCCCAACTTAAGTGCCATTGTCCCTAATGGCATGACTAGAATGTTGCAAAGGGACTTGGGCCAAAGGGAACAATCAAGAGGGTTTTCCCAAGGGGTTCAAGGTCTACTAACTGGTCTCAAATCAAGAAAACAAAAACTCTAATCCTAAAAGCAAAAGCAACTGAAAACTACGTTGGGTTGCCTCCCAACTAGCGCTAAGTTTATCGTCTTCACCCAGACGCATTCACTCATTTCCCATATCTACACTTCCAGACTCGCTTTCTTCTTTACACAGACAGGGCTCAGATTGGGCTAACCAAAAGGTAGACATGCATCTACAAGGTCATCCACTACCTCTACCTTGAACTCATCTTCCCCTAGGTTTGGATACTTAGTGGCACTAAATACATTTAATCGGACTTTCTACTCCCCAAATGAAATGTCCATTTCTCCCGATTTACAGTTGATGTTTGCATTGGCAGTTGTTAGAAACAGACGTCCTAAGATTAATGGGTTATGGTTCAGTTCCTCGGTTAAGGTCATGTCTAGGACGATAAAATCCACTATGAAGTAACAATCCTCTACTTTGACAATGACGTCCTCAATAACACCTTGAGGGGTCTTGACTAACCGATCAACGAGTTTCAGAATTACCGAGGTAGGTTTTAACTCGCCGATCCTGAACCTTTCATAAATAATAGAGGGGAGCAGATTTACACTGGCCCCAAGATCCAATAGGGCCCAATTGAAAGTGATTCCAGAGATGACAACTTATTAGAGGAGCACCATGGTCTTTCATTTTCTGGGGGAATAGGTTTAGGAGAATTGCACTAACATCTACCGAGAGCATCACTTTTTGTGGGGCCAATCGTGGCTCCCTCTTTTGAGTACATAGCTCTTTCAAGAACTTGGCGTAGGCCGGGACATGTTGTATCACGTCGAGGAGAGGAATGTTAATATGGACTTGCTTGAATAACTCTCTGATCTCCTCGTTGCGAGTCTCTTTCATTTTTCGCAATGGCCCGACTATGAGTGCGGTTGGAAAGGAAACTACAGGTTGGTTCACTATAGGTTCTTCTTCTAAATTTTCCTTTCCTTTTTCTTCCCCCCCCCCCAACTTATGGTCTTCTTGCTCCTTTTCTTCTTCACTGATGTTTTCAAATTTATTTTTCTCATACGGGTCCTCTAAAATCCTCCCACTCCTTAAGGTCGTAATAGCCTTGGCATTTTCAAACTGAGGGTTCTTAGGAGGTGGTTGAATCTGCTGTGGAAGAAACCCGGTGGCTGATTTCTAGGATTTGCAACCAGTTGACTCGATAGTTATCCTACTTCTCTCCTATCATTGGCTTCGACTATCTGTCCTATTTGGCTCTCTAATCTAGTAATGGATTGCTGCTGAGTTAAAATCAGCTACTGAAATTGCATGAATTTGTCATCAAGCGAATTAGTTTGATAGGGCTGAGGGTAGGTTTGACATGGCTGAGCCAGTTACGTCCCGGGGTAATCATTATACTCACAGTGAGTCTGGGCTTCAGACCATTGAGAGTGCACATCTGGCAGGGTGGTTTCTTGGGATTGAGCCCAATAAGCAAAGTTAGGCTGATTTTCCCACCATGGGCGAAAGAATGGGTTAGCATTGGGCTGGAAAAATCCATTAGCTGCATGTACTTTCTCTAGAATGACTAGTTGGCATGGGCCCGCCGTAGGGCACTGGCTAACATGATGGGTCAGGCTTGCATAGATGGAACATGTTGGGTAGGATGACAAGGTTGGGTATGGGCTAATTTGTTGACGAAATGCAAGGACTTGATCAAGTCTTTGGACCATCCCATTAATCTTATCTACTTGTTGAGACACAAGGTTCCAATCTATCCGTGGCTTAGGTTGGAAGTAGTTTCTCATTCCACAAACTCCGGCCATTGAATTCATTTTGTTTTGTGTTAAATATTTTTTTTGATTAAGCACAAACAAGTAAAACACATGACCTAGGGGCTAAACTAAGGTTTCCTAAACTAGTGGTTCAACCAATGTGAATCCTATTAGGTTCGCTTGGAATTACACCACTTCCTTTGGTTAACCAGGTAAGAGGTGGGGATGTGGGAGGCTCTCCATGCTCTCACAAAAACCTAATTAAGTAACCACAAAACCCGCTTAGGCTTAGCCGGTTAACCTCTTTCCTTAGACAGCAACCGCCGGTTATGGAAAGTAATTACAAGCTTCCCAAAAATTCAGCACACTTTTGAACCAAATGTGTGGGGCATCATAAAGGATCTTGCTATCCAAATTTTAAATTAAAGTTTAGGGTGAACCACACGTGAAAGGGTGGTGGTTTTTGGGCCAAGGAAGGGTGATGAAATCCCCCCTTATCTTATTTAAATTGGATTGCCCTGAAATGGATTAACGGAAAAACACAAGAAACAAAATGAATGCAACTAATTACAATGCATGAACAATTATCTCTAATATGCAATTCAACAATAAAATAATAAAATAATAAAATAAATTAATTCAGCAAAGAGAGCAATTAAAAAAATGAAAAACCCTAACACATTAACAACTAACAAGATGATTTCAGCAATTAAATAATCCTATATGATGCATGCTCTAGAACATATCAAACCCTAAATGTTAGAATGCAAATGCAACAAATTTTAAAATATTAATTTTTTTTTTAAATTCGAAATTTGAAATTTAAATTCAAATTCATATTCATATTCATATTCATATTCAAATTCAAATTTTAAATTCAAATTTTGAAATTTAAACTCAAATTCAAAATTTTGAATAATTCCATAATTAACAATTAATTACTCAATTAAATAACTAATTAGATCTAAGGACGAAACAAAAGAAAAGAAAAAAATCCTAAATAAATAAATCGGATCTATCAAGAAATAAAAGTAATTAAATAAGAATTCGAAAACACTACTTTACCAAAAAGAATTCGAAAATAAAAATAAAAAAATAGGATTAAATTGGGAAGACTACACCTGAATCGCAATCTCAATTTCTCATCTTTTCTCTTTTCTTCAATAGTCCGACAACGCTTCGATACCCCACCTTTTGCTACTACGTCCTACAAAATCAAAGAGAAATAAGAATTAAAATGAGATTACAGATCAAGTAATCAAACAAAAATAAAAAATAATGAAAGAGATCCGAACAAAGCAAATGATTTTTTTTTTTGTTGCTTCTCCAGCAACTGTGCCAAAAACTTAGTGTATTTGGAAGCGTGTCACTAACCACTTTGAAACACCAGTTTCAATATTTATAAATTTTTTTATTCTCAAAATAACTATAAAATGCTGTTAGTGGTGAGAAAGGGGTCGTATCCACAGGGAAGTAAGGGAAAAATTGTTACGTATTTCAATTTGGACAAAATAACAAGATTTGAGATTGCAGAAACACAAAATTTAATTAACTGAACTGGAATCCATTAAAATAAAATTCTAACATTGCTAAAAGTAAAATTGTAGAAAAATAAATAAATAACGGAAATAAAAAAAAACTAAATAAAAAATCTACAACTCGATCAGAGGTAGCAGTCTCCGGATCTATCCTTTGACCCTCGAACTCCTCGAATTGGGCCTTCGGTCCTACCTGGCCGAATTTCAGATCTGCAGAAAGGAAGACAAAAATTAAATTTGATAAAAATAAATTGCAGAAATAAAATAAAACTAGAAATTAAAGAACGGAAAATAAAAATATGCGTAAAAAGTAAATCTAAAACTATGGGAAGCTAGTTGGGATCCAGATCCAGAGGTGGCAGTAGTGGTTAAGTGAACAGCAAGCAGGAACCCCTCCTCTTGCCTGGGCGTTCTCCTCTTCCTCTACCCTTGAACTTCTCAAGAATAGCCTTCCGTCTTACCTGGGGGCAGAATCCAACCCCTTCTCAAGACCCCTTCGGTCCTTTTTATAGAGAACGAATGATAGGTTTGGGATTAGAGAGAAAGAAAGGGGCAGCAGCTGGGTTTTTGCAAAAATATGGGTGCCCTAGGGTTGAGAATGGAGGGTTAGGATTGTTCTAAGGTGATCCTAAGGATGAGAAGAGAGGGAGAGGGCACCCAGAATGGAGGGAGCCGATTTGGCCGCCTAGAGCTGGAGAAATGTGATTGGTTGGTGTCATGTGGTGCCCTAAGGTGATTGGTTGAGGTTTAAGGAGTGAGGTGTATGACTAGGATGCTATTTAGGGAGAGATCTAAGGGTATAAGGGGCTGCTAAGGATTGGATGGTTGAGATTAGAGAGAGGTTGCAGTGAAAGGTGGAGATTTGCAGAGCTGGGGGCGGCTAGGAGATAAGGAGATGAGGGGGAGGCACCTACGGCTTCAAAGAGAGAGTTATTTCACAGGAAAGGCGCCTATCTTGGTTTAGTAGATAGGAGGTGCCCTCCTGTGCTCAATTTTTCACAGAAACACCCCTTTCTCAGCTAGAATTCGCACTAGCTTTGCAAAATCTGCAAGAAACTCTATAACTTTCCCAGTTTTTACCCAGAATTTGCACAGGGACTCTCAAAAGACAATATTGAATTTAACTGAAAAAAGGGTGCAAATTAGCTAGTCTAAGGTCTAAAATACCCTAAACTGATGCCCTTAAGGAATCAAAATACAGAGTTATCAATGAGCTTAGATGGTTTGGATGCAGTCTATATGCGGGGAGGGCGGCTATCCAAGGCCACCAGATGACCTTGTGCCATTAGTCCCAGGGAGCCCGCCGAGCACTGTTGTGCCCGCGTGCTGATCAATTCCACCCTGGACACTGCCTCCTAACGCGTGGTGGCCTCCTACTGGGCTGGACCACAAGCGCCTACATCATTTTCCCCCCACTCCCGAGGTCGCGGTGGAGGTCCAAGCTGAAGACCTCGGCTTCGGCCGAAGGGAGTGTGTCGATCGAGTTGGGAGGTGCGGTTGGTCCTTTTGGATAAGGATTTTGGCCTTGGCTTGCTGGGGACGAGCATGATGCATTTTGCGATAGCGTTGACTTGACCTTCATTCTCTTCCTTGAGCTATGTCGTGCGGGTTTCTATCGCTTGGAAGACTTGGCCCTGTAAGTCGTTTTTGTTGAAGATGGGCGAGAAGGAGTCTTACCCCCTACCTTGCTTTCTAGCTATGCAGGTGGACCTGTGTAGGCCTCAGCCTCGGCTAGTGGTGCCGAGGGAGTGAATAGGAAGTCTGAACTTGGAACTTAGCCGCTTGGGTGACAAAATTCGTTACTATCGGTTAGTGAGCCTTGAGGAAGATGAGAGTCAGGTGAACCGGGTCGCACGTCCTCTGGTTCAACACGGTTGGGAAAACCAATGAGTTACGACGACGGGGTAGCCTGGTTCACTTGGCGTCGTTTCATCTTCCCGAGGTGAGTGATGCATGTCAGTCAATGGATAGGGTCGTAGAGGCGATTGTTGCACAACCATTTGGATGGGACACGATTTGGGCCATCCGTTTCCTTTAAATAGGGTCCTTTGTCATGTTTCTCTCACCATTTGGTTCTAGACGCCCTTGTCTTTGAGTGACCCTTGCTTCCAGAGCCCTTGTCTACTTGCCTTCCTCAGAACTTCGTTGCCCCATTTCCTTCTTCTTAGGTAAATGCCTCGCCGCTATATCTTACTCTAATTCCAGCCTTATGTGCTATGAACTTCCAGACCCCTCGAGGGCAAGCTCTTTCCAGACCCCTTCCCCCGTCGGTTTGGTCTGAGAATCCTCGATAGCCAAGGTCCTAACCTTGAGGCAAGAAGTTGAGGTACTGAGGGAGAGGATTGCCCCAAGAGGTGCTGAGTGCAGTTGAGGGGGTGAAGATTCTCCCTGTTAGAGCGCCGCATCCGCGACGCCAAGGGAGGCCGAGGGGTCCCCCCTAGTGGCAAAGGGGGATCCGGTTCCTAAGCCCAACTCGAGGACGGTGGTTGAGTATGCTGCCTGAGGGGTGACCATAGAGTGTTTGCAACGCTCAGAACATGAAAGTTGTTATGGGCCCGGGTGTAGGATCTCGTCACGGGGCGGTCTGTAGGGAAAACTCCTTGCCTTCCCTTGCCCTTGCCCTTGCGAGTTGACCCTATGGTGGCGGACTGAGGGATGATTTGTTCAAGAGATCACCTAACTCTCCTTGCTCTCTTTCTTGACTGAAAATTCGATACCTTTATTGAATGAAATCAGCTCYTTAAAWAGGAGATTACAAGAGGGTTTCCTTCTTGTATTCGGCTAAGGTAGTCCCTCTCTTATCGCAACTTAAACTTCTATCGAAACTCAAACTCCTACTACTAAGGGAAACACAAATAGGGGATAAGGGAAAGGTACAGCTGGCATTGGCGAGCAAGGCTGCTGTGGCCGGATAAGAGTGAGCCCACCGGGATGAGCTGTCGTGTGGACCCTGCTCTACTGCTGGCGTGCACGTCTCTCCTTGCTGCTGTTGTGGGGCACGTGCTGCTGCCGTGTGGTGCGTGCCGCTGCCGTGTGGTGCGTGCTGCTATTGAGTGCTGCTGCCGTGTGGTGTGTGCCGCTGCCGGGCGGTGCGTGCCACAAGGCATGCGGCTGGCAGACTGTACCATGGTGCACTGCCAGGCAGCTTGTATCGCGGCGCGCTGCCAGGCGGTGCGTGCCACTAGGCGCGCTGCTGTGCGCGCTGCAGCCTGTGATTGCGATGCAGCGTGTTGCCGTGTGTCGTGTCCATAACATTACACCCCTCCTGGACAACGAGCTTGTCCTCAAGCTCGAGGTCGGGGTAGGCATTGTGGAGGTCGGTCCAGGGGATCCAAGTGGCCTCCGCTGATGGTAGTCCGTCCCAGTCGACTAGAACTTCGAAGGTGCCCTGATTGATGCGTGACCGGACCAGAGGTCTAGGTTGGAGGATGGGTCTGCCTTCCTTGAGAGGGGGTAGAGGAGGCACTTGCGTTGGGGGAGTCCCTGTAAAAGGCTTTAGTAGGGACACATGGAAGACGTCATGGATTTTGCTGTGCTCTGGCAGTTCAAGTTGATAGGCAACCTTCCCGATCTGTTGAAGAACCTTGAAGGGCCCGTAAAACCTTGGGGTCAGCTTTTGGGGGCCCCGTCGCCTGAGGGAGAGCTGCCTGTAGGGCTGAAGCTTTAGCCAAATGAACTGTCCTGGCTGGAAGGTGGCCTCGCGGTGGGGCTGGTCGTAGGCTATCTTCATACGTGCCTGTGCCTGCTGTAACCGTAAGGAGACTTCAGCCAGTAGGGCATCGCGGTCTTGGAGGCTGCGGTCCACTTCTTCCAACTGTGTTGAACCCGGTTTGTAGGAGAGAAGACGAGGAGGGTCTCGCCCAAATACCACACGGAAGGGGGTCATGCCAAGGGACGAGTGGTAGGATGTGTTATAGTAGTATTCGGCCCAAGGAAGGCAGTCCACCCAGCGTCGTGGTTGGTCCCCTACGAAGCAACAGAGGTACATTTCTATGGTGCGATTGACAACCTCCGTTTGCCCGTCTGTCTGTGGATGATAGGCGGAGGAAAAGGCTAGGGTCGTGCCTTGTAATCTGAATAGCTCCTTCTAGAAGGTGCTGGTGAAGATTGCATCCCTGTCACTGATGATGGACTCGGGCAGCTCATGTAGGCGGAAGATGTGCGTGAAAAAGGCATGGGCCACCGACACTGCGCTGTAGGGGTGGGACAATGGAATGAAATGAGCATATTTGGAGAAGTGGTCCACCACTACGAATAAGATGGATTTCCCACCAACTTTAGGCAAACCTTCCACGAAGTCCATCGAGATATTGGCCCAGATCTGCGTTGGGAGTGAGAGAGGCTGCAGGAGTCCTGCTAGGTGTAAGTTCTCCCACTTTTGTTGCTGACATATGGAGCAGTTCTAAATGAAATCCCTAACCGAGCCCCGCATACCATGCCAATGAAAGTCTGCACGGACGCGGTGTAGCGTCTTTTGAACCCTTCATGGGTGGCGTTGTGGATGCTGGCGAGGATAGTTGGAATCAAGGGGCAATCTGTTGGGAGATACACCCTTCCTTTGTACAGCACAAGTCCCTCGTGGATGGTCCAATTTGGTTTGGTCGTGCCAGACTGCAATTCTTGCACCAGGACTCTCCACGTTGGTGATTGGGGTAACACGCTCCTTAGGTCCTCCAGTAGAGTCACACGGGGCTGGGAGACCGCATAGAGGTGTGCCGTGTCCTCTTCACGCCTGGACAGCGCATCAGCGGCCCGGTTAGAGGCTCCCGCCTTGTGGTCCACGCGGAAGTCAAACCCTAGTAGTTTGCATGCCCAGTGTTGTTGGGGTGGAGTAGTAAGCCGCTGCTCTAGAAGGTATTTGAGGCTGTAGTGATCTGTCTTGACAACGAAGGGCCTGCCCCACAAATACGGCCTCCAGTGCTGGATGGCCTTGGCCAGTCCGATCAATTCGCGCTCGTAGGCCGATAGCTTGAGGTGCCGATCTGCTAGTTTGCGGCTGAAGAAGGCTATGGGGTGCTCTTGCTGTTGCAGTACTGCGCCAATGCCTATGCCAGACACATCACACTCCACCGTAAATTCTTGGTCAAAGTTTTGTAGTTGCAGCACGAGGGTAGTGGAGAGTGCGTCCGTTAGGTTGGTGAAGGCGGTGTTAGCTGCCTCGTCCCATTGAAATGCATTTTTATTCAACATCTTGGTTAATGGGGCCGCCAAGAGCCCATAGTCTCTTACAAACTTGCGGTAGTATCCCGTGAGCCCCAAGAACCCGCGGAGAGCCCTAATGGTCTGGGGCTTGGGCCACTCCCGAATGGCTTGAATCTTGGAATTATCTACCGAGACTCCTTCCCTGCTGACTATATGGCCCAGGTAAAGGACCTGCAGTTCTCCGAAGGAGCACTTGGTTCATTTTAGGAAGAGCTTGTGCTATTGTAGTAGCTCCAGAACTGTCCTTAGGTGACAAACGTGCTCCACCCACGAAGTACTGTAAATTAAAATGTCGTCGAAAAATACTAGGACGAACCTGCGGAGGTGGGGCCGAAATACCTCATTCATCAGGGCCTGGAATGTAGATGGGGCATTGGTGAGACCGAAAGGCATGACCAGGAATTCAAAGTGGTCGTGATGCGTTCGGAAGGCTGTTTTCTCCACATCTTCAGGGGCCATTCGGACCTAGAAGTAACCTGACCTAGATCCAGCTTAGAAAAGTACTGAGACCCGTGGAGCTCATCTAGCAATTCGTCTACCACCGGGATCGGGAACTTGTCCTTGACGGTTCTACTGTTGAGCTCCCTGTAGTCCACACAAAATCTCCAGGTGCCGTCTTGCTTTGGCACCAACAAGACTGGTGAGGAGAATGGAGAGTGGCTGGGGCGTATGATTCCCTGTTCCAGCATCTCTGTACACTACATTTCTATCTCGTCCTTCTGTAGGTGAGGGTAGCGGTACGGCCTCACGACAATGGGTCCTGCCCCTGGTATTAAGGGAATCCGATGGTCACACGACCGGCCAGGTGAAAGGCCCTTAGGCTCTGAGAACATGTTTGAAAAATCGGCAAGAAGCCTCTCCATCTCTGCGGTGTTTAAGGCGTCGCCCTGGAGAGTATGCACCTGTGTTTTTCTTGCTCTCATCTTGGTCTCTTTCCAGGTGACCTGTTTCCCATGTAAGTCAAACGTCATGGTCAAGGCACTGAAATCCCATAGGATGGGGCCGAGGGTGATGAGCCACTTAATTCCCAACACTATGTCGAACTCGTCTAGGGTCAGTACAAATAGATCTGCAAGGAATGGTTCAGAATCCACCTGGATTTGGATGCTTCGGCAGATCCCGGGACTGTGAACTCTCTCCCCATTTGCTACAGCCACCTGGAGTCGTGGTCTATCTTCCATTGGTAGCTTCAGTTGGAGCGCAGCTTGCTTGCTGATGAAGTTGTGGGTACTCCCTGAGTCAACCAGAATCCGTACCTGTTGTCCTGCCACCTGGGCCTGCAGCTGCATGGTTTGGGAGTTTTGGACTCCAGTGATGGCATGGAGGGAGATCTCGGGTTCTAGTTGAAAGAATGGTAGGATCCATCTAATGGACGCCA